CCATCTACCACTGGCACTAGTTCCTGCTGCACCGTCCCATCTACCACTGGCACTAGTTCCTGCTGCACCGTCCCATCTACCAGTGGCACTAGTTCCAGCTGCACCGTCCCATCTACCACTGGCACTAGTTCCAGCTGCACCGTCCCATCTACCACTGGCACCAGTTCCTGCTGCACCGTCCCATCTACCAGTGGTGCTAGTTCCTGCTGCACCGTCCAAATGGCCCTCTGATCCACTTCCTAATCCATCGTCCCATGTACCACCCGTTGCTGCTGCATCTGTCGTTGAACCAGTACTTCCACTTGCACCTACGCCTGCTAATCCAGAGGCTCCTTCTGTACGTCCTAGGTAATCCTCATATAATCTGTCAAAAACAGCATATTTGTCATCTGCCGCTTGTTCACCTTGACTACCTCCTGTAGATCCATTGGATCCAAAAACACCTTCATTCAGGTTAGAAGTTCCAGGTAATGTACCAGCAACAGCACCATCAGCTTCCTTATATCCCACAGATGGTGCACCACCAAAGGAGTATTCATTCGGAGTAGTACCCAAGGAAGATGGCGTACTTCCCATCGTAGTCTCTTGAGCATTGCTATCACCATATCTGAACGTTCCGTTATCTAACGTACTTGCGCTATGGGCGTCCGGTTCATTGTCAGCCGCTGGAGGGAAATTTCCATAACTATTCGTATAATATGAACCCCAGTTTTGTTCATCAAAACCTAGGGATTCATTCCCGTGCTCATCCCATGCATTTGATGAATCTCCACCTCCTTGCAATGAGTCAACCGAATCATCTGTGTTCCCAGTACCATAATTTCGTTGTGATAAATTTGCCATATCCTGTGGTTCAAAATCTTTGCGCATGTGTTCATCATTTTCCCCCTGTTCACCCCTAAGGTTGGCTTCTGCCAACTTCCTTGCGTTAACACTTCCCCAATGTCTTTCTGAGACTGTATTATTATTATATACATTTCCATTCTGCAAAAAATTATAGATAAGTGATTTGCATAAAGGTATGTTTATAGAACAGTTATAAAAAATCATATGCGTCAAACATATATGTGTATATATATACTTATATATATGTAAAGCCATAAGGGAAGGAACAATTCCTCACAAGTACAAATTTTTAAGCATGTAATCTTACTTCCAAAAACATATATAAGCAACCAACAAGAAACACTTTAGCAAACCTTGAAAACATAAATTTTCTGAAGTTGCTTTCTCTAGAGTTTTCTTCTGTACATTCTAACATATTTGTGGAACCACGGTTACTTTTCGCATTCTTCTTAACTACAGATTTCCTGCTCCTTGATAAAACAGATGCGTTAGCATTGAATACCATTTTTTCAAAAATATTATATGTATACACGGTAAGATTATATTTTATTTAATGAAACAATAAATAAAAAAAAATCTATATATTATATCATCTTAATAAAACATAACATGAATTTATATAAATATGTATTTATTATAAATATATATTTAAATAAAAAAATATTTTTTGTTGCTTTTGCAATTCATGTATAAAAAGCTGTGCAAATATTACATATTTCACAAATATATAAAATATTACCAATATATAATACGAAATGAATAAAAAGACCATTCGAAGAGCATTCTAAACATAAGAATATTTATATTTTTTATAAATAGCTCATTGGTAACAACACAAGTGCTTTACGCAATAAACATGTTTTAAAATTCTACCCAACCTTCTCATTTTATTTTTTATTTTTATTTTTGTTTTTTTTCTAAATTCAAATACATATTTTTAAAGGGGCTTCTTTCATTTTAAGGGTATAGGTACGGCTGAGCTATAATTAATTTTATGACTTAGAAATAATAAACCAAACAGTTTTTTTTTATTCTGCTGTATGAATAATATATAAATATTAGCACTAAAATATATTTATTTATACATTAAATATAACTGCTTTAATTCAAAAATAATTGAAGTCGTATTTATAGCACTCTCGTGTTTTATGATAACAAATGCACTGCTCTATTAATATAATATTAAATAATTCTTATTATTATTTGGAATCCTTTTTTATTTCAATAAAAAAAGAAAACATGCTAAAAAAAATGTACTTTTTTATATTTCAAAAAAAGGAGAAAAAGAAGACCAACATATGTTACAATAATAAAACTGGTCGCAAAAGTTTTTGTCATTTGTACCCATATTTTATAAATAAAATATGTTATTAATTTATTGAAAAGAACCTATTAATTAAACAATAAGAAACAACATTTCTCCATTCTAATAATGAAACGCCATGTTATGCTATTTTAATCTTTATTACAAATTAATTTAAAATTAACCTTACATTCAGTCAGACATTTTAAGCTATATATTTATTATAAGCAAAGCAGAAAAAGAAGGCTTCTCTTTCGATCTCTAGAAGTTTTCTTTTAGATAGTACTTTCTCTTTTTTTACACTGTGGTATAACAATATAAATAAAGTAATTCTTTATAAGGTGCACAAAAATAAGAGCAAAGCTCATGTAGTCAATATTTATAATATATTTTCTGTTCTTGACTTAGGATTTTATATGTTCTATGCATAAATTATTTTTTATGTTCTACTAATTACGAAATATTCTTTGTCTGCACTTTTACGATTCCCTAAGATAAAGCAAATATTTAATGAGTCTTATTTTTGTAAAAAATAAAGGTAAATTATACTTTTTTCTACGGTTTTTGTTAGAGTAAGTAAATTAATTACGCCTTCATACATGTGCGTGGTTTATTTTTTAGTTCTTTTAAATGATGAAAATTAATTGAATTGTTAAATATTTTGCGTAGAGGTTCTTCAAATATATGAACATGATAAAATTCTTTCAAGCCTGTGGAACAGATTATTTGCTGAATTTAGTAATTATTAGGAAAGTAGGAATTATAAAACAATTTAGCAATCTCGAATAAGATGAAAGAGCATGTGAAAAGAAAGGCTCCATACACATATAAATATGAAATTAGAGCAAATTTACTGCCAAATGGGGTACTTTTTTTTATAATGATTTTTTCAGAGGTTTGCACATGTACATTACTATTCTCTCTGCAATATATTTATAGGAAGACGCATATGGCGCAACATAAAAGGGTAACATGAATTAAAACAATTGATTGTAAAACCCAAGGAAGCCTATAAAAAGTGCTTAAAAAAGAGGGGAGGTTAGTTTTACGTGAAAATTGTACCTTCTATAATTAATCGCTTATTCCTTATCCGTTACATCATACATAGAGCTAGGTTTACTTTCGTACCATATATAGTTATGTAATTGTAAGTTGTGCCCCTTCCTGAATTTTTCCCTCATTCTCACAGAATTGATGTATGTTTTTTTTTTTTTTTGCACACATGTAGAACTGTATGAGGACGTTTACACCAATGTGTCCATCTTTGCTATTTTAAAATTGGTAAGAACCTCAGGAAAAAGAGATCTACATGACAGATTCTGAGTTATAACATTTCATAACTTATAAGAATAGCAACAAAAAATGAACATATTTTTTCATAAATGTTATTGTTTATAACAGATAAAGCTCTAGTTAAGCAAGACTAAGAACATTGTTGCTTATTTCTTTTCCGAGCTGTACATTAAAATTTTATTTTTCAGTTCTATCTCTGAATAACGCTGACGCTTTGGTTATTATATGATAACTTTTATTTCTTATTAAGACACTCACGCCTTCTACAAATAAATGCATTTTAGTAAAACTAATGATGAATGAATAACATGTACGGTATATGTGTATGCATATGATCAAGTGTTCTTTTTGAATTCGTATATATTTAAAATTATAAACGTATATTATACTCGTAAATACAAGTGATTTATTAATAATTTGCTTTTTCATGTTCACCTTAATTTTTATTTACACTTAAAAAGTTCTTTGTTAATATTTTTTAAGTCATTGTGCACTATAGATCTGCTTATTAAGGGAACCAATGTGTGCTCATTTTGTGTTCTATATTGATGCTCCTTTATTGTTTCATATTAAAAGCTTTGAAAAGAAGGAAACAGAAAAACTTATAGTAAATACAATGTCACGTTCCATACACTGTCAATAACTGTGAAAGCGCTTATTTCACGTAACATGTGTGTTCCCAATTCTTTATAATACATCTGTTTATTTTGTGGGTTCAGAAATGTTGAAATAAGGACAAAATCTAATATTAGCTCATTTTTCTACATATGTTCAAGGATTTACACAATACATACATGACTACTAAAGTGCGTAACGGGTTAGTTACCTATAAAAATGAAAGAATTCAAAATTTTCTTTTACATTACACATATGTAAAACGTATATATATATACTTCTACGCATATGGAATATTTGAACATAGAAGGTGTATTATTGGGGGACGTGCAATCATGTTTTTTGAACTTCTGTTCACCCAATTTTTTATGTGCTATAATAAAAACAGCAAAACCATTTGCAGTCGTACATCATCCTAACATTAGTTGTGCAATCATTATGTATAATTAGGTGTGTTACATAAGTATGAACTTCTTTTTAAAAGAATAGGACTTAATTAATTGTACTATTCACACATATGCTTTATCATGCTTATACATTCTAAAGCGAAAAGGAAATGCGCATATACAAATATAGTGGTATTTATAAGCATACAACTAAATAATAAAACCCTTTAAGACCACATCACTGCTTGGTTTAATTAGAATATTATAATAAAAAAATAGTTATTTGTTGCCTCTCCTCATGTGAAAATGATAAAAAAATATTTCAAATGTGTTAAAGAATTTCAGCGGAGCATTTAAATTATAATATGCACAGGAAAAAGAATTGATCTGGCACATCGGTAGTAAATTCTTTCTATTATAAATTTATATAATATATTCTTTTCTTATATGTTAATATCATAGTAAAATTCACAAGAATGAATTATTACAAAGCAATTCACGATTATTACTGCTTGATCTTTTTATCAGTCATATGGAAAAATTAGATTATATCCATTAAAGAACTTTGTGTAGTACCCCCCAAAAAACGACCAATTTAATATTAATCTTGGTGTGGATTCGTCATAATAATTATGTTTCAAATGCAGAGCTTTTTTTTTTTTTTTTTTTTTCTTTTTTTGTAACAATCCGTCCTATAATATCAATAATAATTACGTGAAAGTGAACACAAAAAGGATGATGGTCATTTTAAGCATTATGTTGTACATGCTGAAAGTAGTAATAATGTGCTAATGAACATAGTTGTGGATAAACTGAATTTGCTCTTCGCAGATTATTATGTGTTGCACAATTTAATTAGAATAAAGGTACCAGAAAGATGAAATTAGCACAATATAAATGAAATAGATACAGTATTAGAAAATTTAAATGATTCGCGTTTTAATGGGCATCTTGGTTAATAATATACTATTTGTTAATTAGAGCAAAAGCATAAATGGTTATACAACGGTTAAAGGAAATTATTTACCTAACCATCTGTATCCATCAGCACTTCATCTATTGCAAAAAATATAAGTTGCCTCCATTTACTCAATATTTTTACCTTTTAATATCAACAGAAAACAAATATAATATAGTAGCAGGGTCTTGGTTGCACAAGAAATAATCAAGCCCCATGTTCTGAATCATAATTCCTCACAATTCTATAAATAATTTACTACTACTCTTTACATGAAATTAAGCATAAAATTACAAATGGTACTAGACGATGAATAATGCAATGTAGCAATTTGTTCGGGTGCCCCATTAATAAATATAATTTTAATTAACGGTGCGTGCAAAAGCGTTAAGTATAGACAACTCAAGCTTTAGGATGACATTTTTTTATAGAAAGAAAAAAATTGTTATTTACACGTTCCAAGTGATATGAATTGTAAATATCTATTTTACAAAGATAATATATATTTTCGAATTCTTATATAGAATAAATAACTCTCATGTAACAAATATTTGCAAAGAAAGCAACCGAAATATTCTATTCCAAATGTTGACTCAAATATTGACTATTCGACAAGTTAGCTAAATGCATCCAATAATGTTCTTTTCGAATAAAAAAAAAAAAAAAAAAATGGGAGTTCTGTTGTATAAATCATTTTGTCATTTCTTCTAATATTTTACTGTGCAAGTAATTGCAAAAACTGAAGGGATCGTTACATGGGATATAATATGTATAGGTATAAGAACATATAAGTAAGCCCCCCTTCACTTGGGTTGCAATATTACTTATACAAATATTCAAATGTTATGATGTCCATAGTGTTCTTCTTTTTTTTTTTAAGTTAAATGAAACCAAAAAAAATAAGTTATAACATATCTGAAAAAATTCATTATTCACTAATTTGGTAGTAAAATATACAAACCCAGATGTCTAGGAATAAGGAAAAAAAAAAGGATCTGTTATTTTTTTTTGTTAGACATATGTTATCTCCCTTTCATAGTCTCTTCACGCTTTTTTAAAATCATGCTTTTAAAGTAAGATATGCATCATATGTGAATGTATTGAAGTCATCCTGTTTCATTTTAAAAGAAGCAAACGAGGCATGAACCAGGGGTATATTATATATCTATATTTTTTTGTACATTACGTCTGCAACAAAAATATTACGTGTAATCTCCAAAAAAAAAATGAGCGCAGGAAATCAAGCATCCTACTAGGAACATTTTGGAGAAGAAATCAAAGGATCCATGGATGTCAGAAGAACTTGAAAGGAACCAATGCAATTATTTACTTACGAAATATGAGGCTAACCTTCAACATTTTGTCTCATTCTCGCAAAATGCAGAGAGGCATTGTGTGTAAAGGACAGAAAAACAATTAGGAGCGAGCACAAAGAATGAAATGAATGGAAATAAGTTTTTTCTTTTAAGAGGGTAACGAACTGTTCAAGGGAAAAGAAATCCTCGCGTAATATCGAAGAGAGTAGGTACAACATAATACACATATAATACTTTACTGCAACGATTAAGAGGCAGTGAACCCTGAGCGGCATTAGTAGCAAGCAAGAGGTAAACACTGTCTGCAGGAAGAGTTGAGTATGGGTAAATTCATAATATTCATTTCCGTGTTATGTATGTTCGATAAGTTATTAGATTCTACGCATTAATAACAGAATACGAGTGTGTCTCAATGGCATGTAGAGATATAATTGTCATATATAGTGTGAAGAGAAAGAACGCACGGAATCGTGTAAACGCTTTAACATGAGCCTTCAAAAATAATGACTTTTTTTTTAAGGTATTATGACCATACAAGCAACAGAGTTGATTTGCTTATAATAAAAAAATGTTGTGTAAGTGAATACTTGATAGTATTAATTCTCCCTCTCGAAAAGTACTGAAGTATTTTTTTTTTTTTTTATATAATGCATAGAACAAGAGTTGTAGCATTCGTCGATTAAGCTAACACTGAATTGGATTGACGACGGAGTAATCCTATGGACAGCTAATTATATAAACGCACAGTACAATGCATTCACAAACCATGTATAGCCTGAAAGAACAGATAACATTATAATTAGGGGGATAGCTATAAGATACCATGAATTCGTATAACTGAGTCCTATCCCTACAAATAATACATAACAGTATAAAAGTGTCGATTCCATAAATAGATAAAATCATGCCATAACATCAGAAGTGCCATCTAAAAGTAGTATAATTATATTCCTTTGGATTCGTTAAATACTCTGTGCTCCCGGGTTCCCTCTTGAGGGAGGTTTGTGTCTCAAAGCTGTATCCCACACTCCTGAACTTTTTCACTGCCTCTAGGACCTTCTTAGTTTGCTTAGGAATAACATTCCCGAGCTTCCCGAAACTATAGCCAACGCTATGATACAAAACAATGTACTCAGGTTGCCGATATATATTAACAGGAGCATTATACAGTGATAACAGACGACACTTGCGACGGGGGTCTGTGGGCTATATCTTATTAGAGTACGCTTCAATGCAGTACAAGGTGTTGTGGATTCCTTTGTCATTTTTTCACCCTGTGCCTTCTTTTCTGAAGCTACAAATAAGCCTTCGGATCCATGTTTGGAATCTGATTTCACCCTGGAGCCATACGGCATACCCGGAACAGTAAAGCCTGGAACGCTCAACCCTATATTACGCGGGTCATTTGGGACGTATATGACTTCCAAAGAAATTGGTTCTCCAATAATGGCCATACATGCGTCTTCTGTCTTAGTGGTGACTTGTTTCCATGAATCACTAATGTCATTTAGGATCTTTTTGAATTCATCTCTGCTCAATTTTTCTTTTGCAACCATGGTATAAAATACTTCATGCACATGCTCGCGTTGTTTTTTAAAGTTATTACCAACTATTCGTCCACATTTTCCCCATTTCTTCCTATCTTTCGGGATAATTTCATTAGTTTGCTTCTTTTTTAATTCTAAAAATTTCTTGAACAAACGTTTTTTAGCATCAATATATTTAAATCTTTCATTTATGAATGATTGCCAGTATAGAGACAGTAATTCCGATTTATGAGGTTCCTCTTCCATTTGTTCTAATTTTTTATTTATTTCAGAATCTCTCAATCGTTCATCGAAACAAGACATTTCGTAGTGGAAATCAGTTGACCTATGGATTCCATATTTTTCTCTATCTTCTGCTACTTTGCCTTCATATTTCTCAATTGTATGTGCTGCCTCCTTCCTCTTGTTCTCCGTCATTTGCCTTTTCTTGTTATCATTATCTAGCGCATCATGTGCTTTGGGGACTGTGGAGACATCATCATATATGGCATCAGCTAGGACGTCATGTCTTTTGACCTGTACTTGTTCATCTGATTCCTGAGTTGTTTCTGCTCCAGGAACTTTTGCTTCTCCCCTAAGAAATGGTCTTTGGTCCTTTGCAGGTTCTTTCTTAACCTGAACGAGTGGTTCCTTAAAGGCACACCCACTAGGACTACCGGGAAGTTTGTTACTTTGTTCTGGTGCTTGCATATCCAATTCGACCGTGAGCAATCTACTGATCCGGACACCGAGAGTGTCATTTTGCTCGGCGGTATGGTTCCATGGTGAGCCCAATTCTGTTAACTAATATGTTAAGAAAGCACGGGGGGGGGGGGAGTATGCATGCAGAATTTGTACATTACGCAGGTATTAGAGTATAGTGAACAACACGGAAGGTCTTCATTTTTGACAATACGCATAACACACTGTTCATAATAAAAAGAAGGATGTTCGGAGTGCCTTAGATATTATCATACAGAGTTGACAAATTGCCAGGGATACAGAATAAATATAAATATAGGGATTTTCGCGAAAAATGTCACTCCGTTATTCTTAGTTATTTTTTCTTCTAAATTTGTGTAACAAATGTTTGAAGTGGGGATATATTCCTTTTTTATGTGTATGTATCAACTACAGGATTATTCTTTTTTTTTCTTAAATTTATGTGTGCGGAATATGCGTGTACTTTTTTTTTCCTTTTTCTTTCATACGGGACACGAATTATATCGTCCGTATATAAAATTTACTGTTTATTCTTAATTCTATTAATATACATTAAATAAAAAAATTAATATGAACAATACTGTAGGCGAACAATGGAGTAATAGAAAGGACTAGCGAGGCCCATTTTAGTGTATACTGTACAATTTACAACTGATTGAAATGGTTAATATTCTCTGGAATCTAATAGGCATGTCACACATATAGCCAACTCCCTAGCGGTGTAATAAGTTCACGTTGTGTACTCTGAAAAACACAATTGTTTATATGCACTAGCATTTTACTACTTCATGTTGGGTATGATGGTAGAGAAAATCATGAAGAGAAAATAAGTTACACCCCCTATTTGTGAGAATAGTCGAATTTTTTCTTAGGCGTAACGTTGTGGGTTCAGGATTTTTCGTACAGTGCATCAGTGCTTTCAGGGGTATTATTTTGGAGTATATATAAGGCGGATTCTGTATGTATCTTAATCAGAATTCATAGAGCCCTCATTTATACCGTCGCTTCTTGTACTAAAATGGTCATGAAGAATAAATGTAAAAGTGTAGTGTTTACGACGTTTCGTGTATGTATATCTCTATGTCCCCATCCTTCTTAGTACAGTGTGCGTGGTTTAATTGAAGTGTAATGAATATATGAGAGGGAAAGGTACATAGAGTTATTTTATATTATGGCCAAGCTTAAAGTTTAGGATTCAGCTTGTAGAGTTCAAGTATCGACTCTTGGGCTTTAGGGTTTAGTGTTTAACACCCTTGCCAGCAGTGTCAGCGCTTGAAAAACCTGAATGGCAGTATATTATTCTATAATCCTCTCGGTAAATAAAAGAAATATGTAGTGAAAGCGTGCACCAAAATGTAGGTACATGCACATATGTTTATTTCTTCATATGAATGAAAAATAATTTGATTATTCTCTAAAAGAAAGAAATAAAAATTGTGGCTTTGTACAAACGTACACAATACTTCTAATTATTTCTTTTAGAAAAACAAAATAAGTGCACATAGAAGATGTCCTAGGAAGAACGTCACAGGAAGAGGCTCAATGCGGGAGTGAGCTGGAAATGATGATGCAACCGCCTCTCCTGTTTTTATGTTCTGATATTTGTAAAGGTAATGATATATCTTCAGACCTTGTACTTCCAATATGAATGTATATGGGTGTATGATCATGTGTGGTCATGCGTTTATCGGGGTCATGTGTTCCATGTGTCGTGATGTGTGTTCCATGTCTGTTCCGTGTGAAAGGGATAATGAATTTTTGTGTATATAATATAAATATTTTTCTATGGGACATTCTTAGTTAATACAATAAGAGTATTCTACTATGATAGGAGGATATTTGTAGTACTAAGGTTCACTATTACATGTTGAATTCTGTACCTAATAAATATGATTATATTCTCCATGTTTTTGTTTTGTTTTTTTATTATAAAAATATAACAATTTCATACTTTTTTTTCTGTTATAAATTAAACTTTTATGTGTAGATTAAATTCTACACTACATAGTCTTAATTATAATAGACAGCGCACATAAGGTACAGATGAATATATTGTTCAACATTTACCTAATGACATTTATAAAAAATGGAAACACATATATTCTTCTCAATGAATACTTCCAGTTTCGCCTGCGGTACATTATGTAACATTAAGCGATAAGAAAATTTTGAATGTCGGTTAAAACTTTTGAGGAAAGAAATTATACTAACAAAATGTATTATTATGTATGAATACAAAATTTCCACCGCATAATTTAATTTCTGAAGCAGATAATACTCAGGGTCGCGCCTCTATATTTATAAAAAAAAAAATGCGTTATAACCACGAACGTACACTTTCTATGGGACCTGGCGGAAACGCTGTATAGAATCCATACTGTATAGGTTGCGTTCCTTCCTCAAAGTATACGAATGAAATACGGATCCTCCCGCAGACGAGATAGTAACACACGTTCGCATGTGAACAGTAAGACGCTATTTATAGACGTTTAAAAGGAAAAGGGCGGGGTTATATTAGAGCGTAAGCGGAAATAAAGGTGCCCGTGCTTTATATATATCATAAATGGAATGACTGCCAATAAATAGGCCAGATGCTTCATATGAGGTGTATACTTTCTGTTGATCATTTGTTGTTTGCTATATAATACCACACCTGACAATATCTATGTATAGGTGTAAATTCATTCATATATGTATATCGCTCTTGAACAAATGGAACATCCTTGAAGTCCGCAAAAAACCTGGTTATGATATGTAAAAACTACAACTAAATCTGGACATTGGAATATGACAGAATATTGAAAACATGAATGTTAAACCTGCACTTTTGAATGAAAATCCTAAACCCTAAACGGCTTAGTTTTTGCCGGGGAAGAATATTATTCGGCCGTAGTGCTTTTATATAGGTTTTTTATCATCCTGTGAGCGATCTGCTAATCCTCACTCCTAAGGTGTCACATCGGCTTATTGTGTTACTACATGATGAGCCCAGTTCCGTCACCTAGCATATAGAAAGGGAGAGTACATTTAGGAGTTATATAATACACAAGTATTAGGATAGAGTTAAAAAAAAGGGAGCAGTCCTTAATTCAGGAGAACACAGATAAAAGGCAGGTCATAATGGCGATGCGACTTCTAACATTGTTTCAGTTATTATCATACATAGTAGGCATATTGGTAAAACTACAGTATGAGCCTAAGTACTGACAATTTCGTGAAATATATCATTCAATTTTTTCTTTCTTTCTCTTTGCTTCTAACGAAAGGAAGGTTCAGAATGGGCATATATGCTATTTCCTACATATACTTATGTGGATTGTGCACTCGCTTTTGTTATGCACACGTGAAATGCTAACTAAACTGTGTGTGTATGCGATTTACGGTTTCCTTCTCGAAGTGCTTGTATTATATAATTTAAATAGAAAATTAATATACATTAGAATAGATATGGAAAATGTAGTTTTCTAGAAAATTAAGCATATATTATCTGTACATATCTTATTGTTTACAAGTAATTAAGTTGGTTAGTATTTTCTCAAATCTAATACGCACTTTTGACCTATGTCACATTTCTTTCTATAAGAATGATGCAAATTATTTATTCTACAGGAAATAAAATTATATACATATGTACTTACAAATATATTGGCTCGAATTTGAGTGTAATGTTTGTGGTTCCGGGTTCCAGGTTCAGGGTTCAAGCTTTTCAGCGTTTTAGGATTAAGTTAAATATGTAAATATGTAAAAACATGGTAGGGCACTTATTTAAAATATATTTTTTAACATAATTTTTCTCATAAAATATAATAATTTGTGAGCCTATCCAAGTAGTAGAGAACAGTGTTGTACGGAAGCTTGAATTTAGTTTGTGAAATGAAGGATCATGCGGAATGTATCTACGTGATTGGAGAAATATGACATATTAAGAGGTATTTAATTATATGCGTCCTGCTTTGTTCCCTGCGTGCTTTATATACTTTTAATATTTTAAAAATGTATACGGAACAGTGAAATTTTCAATTATATGACAATTTCTTTTGGATCATATAGAATACGTTTATATGGTTTCATTGTATACATTAAAGTTTTCTACAGCATGTTATAGAATTAGATAATGTACTTTCCTTGGAATCTATATATTACTTAAAATGAGGTTGTCCGCATGAACCTAGGAAAAAAAGGACACGCACCGTTGTGCTCACTGTGCATACATATTATTATATATGTATATAATACGTGATCCGTAGTGATTACAGGTTTATTCACTACAACAGCTTCACAGTACTCCATGACGACTAGTGAAACGGACAACTCGGGGCTCGCGTGGGAACGCGTGCTAGCTGTTGTCATTGAAAGAATTACGCAAGCATTTTCCACATAACTGTTCACGCTCATACATTACATATAATTGTATATTTTGTGTGTTGCGCACTTGATACGGTTCTCTTTAGTAATTTTTGAAGAGTGCCTTAAGTAAAAAGGGGATGAAACACATGTGCAACTTTTTCTTTTTGTTTTTTTTTTCTACAAGCATGGGAATGACAGGAAAAACTCAAATTATACTACGAACAACTTCGATCTCGAACCTGTTAGAGAAATGTTCGCGCACACCCCCTTTTGTATAGTTTTACCCCGACGCTCATCTTTTTTAAGAGAAAAAAGGGGAGAGAAGGTCCAAAAAAAAAAAAATTATTTCCTATGATAATAAAAAAATAAATTATATCGAACGCTTTTCCCCCTTTCAAAAGAATTATGAACAAGCATTTTTTAAGGGAACCGAGGATAATTTTGCTTCTTCAGTTTTTAAATAATATTATATGGTCTGCCCAAAATACAATAAAAAGAGGGGGGAAGAATTACAAATTATAAATTAATTAAAAAATTTTAGTATTTAATATAAAAAATGGAAAATAAGAAAAAGTTCGAAAAGGTTACCAATTTATATTTTCCCCTTTCATTGCCCATTATCTATTAACATCATTTTAATTTATATTACATTTTAAATATTTCCTTAAAATGTGCATACGCCATTGGATATAGATAAATTACATAAATTTCCTTTTACGCGCTTGAGCCCATATTTGCTACGCATGAATCAGTTCTGCAAGGAAAATCGACAACTGTAAGTGACTTATTTTATTTAAACCAAAAACCCTGAACCCATTATATCCTTTGTTCATATAAATATCTGTTTATTTATTCTTCACATGGGCCAATATTTACACTTCTTAATTAGTTTTCTTTTGCAAGTAGTATAACCCTTTCTTTTTTCCTTTTTTTTTGGGGGGCATTTTTCATGCCAACATATGTATGTGCAATTACATCTTTAACACCCATGTTAATAAATGAAAATATTATTATATGAGCACGTAGTATGCATAAATCTTTCCGTATACTTGAACATTGTATAAATCAGAAAGGAATTCCCCATCTGTGTTTCTTGTACTCTGAAATTTATGCGCTTATATCTTTGTAGTAATAGAAATGCGTTGTAAGATCTTGCACAAACCGTTTTTCACAAATGTTCTGATATTTACTATTATACACTACTACGTTCCTCATTTGTCACTTATTCCCTTTTCAGTAATATTTACAGAGTAATAAACACTTTTCAGACAATTATCAAGGGTAGGAAAAAAGCATTTTTACCAATAATTTTTATTAAGAACAGTACAAATTAATTTAATCTTAAATTTCTGCATACATCTTCCAATAATTCAAATAGAATAAACAATGACCCAGAGCACAAACGCCCCGCTTACCCTATACTCAAGGGTAGAAGTTGACAAACCATTCAGCACCTTGAGTGAGAAGTATTATGTGTCCCAACCTTACAATCCTCATATTCCTATATTGGGTAACATTCATCGTGGGAGTTTCCCAAGTTATGGTATAGATAATTATGATTATTATAATGGAGAGAATTTTCACAGTAAAAGAATAAAAGTAAACCAAGATCCTAAACCGGAAGTAGCTAAAACGGAGCAAGTTGAAAATAATGCGGAGAAGCTGGGCACCACAAACAACATGTTGAGTTTATTTCAAGTGGTTATGATTATCGTTCTGTTGATGCGATTAGGAGTAAGTTTGAAATAGAAAGTGTTTGTTACTCCCCGTGCTGGCCGCATTCGTTCACCTGCTTGAGAGTGTACCACGGAGTACGCGAATTTATGTGCTTAACAAGTGCACGATAGAACGCGTTGAAAACGCAGACACGCGGGAGTTCAGCAACAATGCACACATACCAAACTAATCTCAACTTTCTTCAGAGGAATGTATCTACGAGACTCAGGAGGAAGCACGAAGAGAGAAAGAAGCTATTAAAATTCCTGGACAATGAGAACAAAAAAATTAGAATTGATGATAAATTGATGGCAGAGAAGCTCAAGAAATTGGAGCATAAAATACAAAAAGAAGAAGAAGAGATGGAAGTAAAATGGAAAGAAATAAGAGCAAAACTCAAGGCAAAAATAAAAAAAAATCCATCAAAAAACCGTTTGCCTGGTATAGGCCCATACTATGACAAAGACAAAATGCGTTTGGATCGGAAAATGGACGCTGTAAATATCAATTATGAGAAGTATAAATTGAAAAAGGAGAAGCGGTGGCATGCTATGAAAGCAGCTTATCATAAGAAACTCAACAAGATGCATGATAAACAGAGTAAGCGCAAACGGAGAAAGTGCAAACAAATGTTTCTGTTTGAAAGGAAATGGAATTTTGGACCGCGGACAATGAAAGAATACTTGAAGCTAAAAGAAGAAGAATGCAATAGAGCTAATGACCCTTACACAGGGTTAAATTTAAAGGAAGCAGCGACTGCAGCGGCAGAAACAGCAGAGACGACGGATACAACGGACGCGACAGAAAAGGCTGAAGTGGAAGAGACAGCAGAAGAAAAAGAAACGGCTGAAACTGAAAAAACGGTCAAAGGGCAAGAAAGCCAAGAGCAAGCCAAACAGCAGAAAAAGGGGGACAAGGCTGAAGGACGAGAAGCGGTTAAAACTGAAGAAAAAGCTGAAGAAAAGGAGAAGAAAGCAGAAAAGGAGGAAGAGAACGATGAGGAATATGAATACTATGTTGATGAAGACTATGATGACTATGCAGATTATGAGGATGATGTGAACTATTACATGAATTCCGATGATGAATAATACGAAGATCTTGATAATTAGAACGATTATCACACTGCCGTCATCGCCTACTAGAACCATGATCCCTATTATTATTAAACGTTTTGAAGTGACCGATCCAGCATTTATCACAATTATGTTAACCTTAAAATGATAGAATAAGTGGAATCGACACATAAGAAGTATGGACAGAGTTTGCAGCTTACTGATAGATTGAAGATAACGAAAATTTTAGCAAGGGGTTGTTGTGCACTCTTCCATAGATGTTGATAAATATATCCCAAGGAAAAAAGGAAGAAGAAGAGAAAACTTTAGAGCTCATGGAGGAATATATATATAGACATCACAACAACTTGTAGCACACATTCTTGGGTTCTTAGGAAGTCCACACCATATAATTATAAGCGAATGTATTTATTCGTAGGACCTAGAAGGATCTGCGGCCAAGTTGGGGATGAATGCTTTTTTTCCTGAACATAACTTTTTGGGGAAAAATTAATAAATGTCCATGCTGCTGTTAGGGACTCTTTGTTAATCCTGCTATAAATGTCACCATGAACAAGACATCCCAATGATGTAGACATGCATGATATGGAAGCGTAGGATATCGTTGAATTGAAGATATCCAACTAGATGGTAGAATTGTTATTTAGGGCGTTCCCAAATAATAGGTGCTGGCTTTATTTTATGCAACGACGACATATCATTCTGAAACCTCCTCATAATGCTTCCTTATTCATTGGTTTTTTGCGTCCTGTTAAATTCGAACTTTAGGATATATACACTGGTATGTGTATCATGTCGTGCATGCGTTACCACGCATAAAGGCACACATCCCCTTTGATTGTGTTATTTTAATTTTTTCCCTAATAAAAATATGCAATAATCATGTGTGTATGTGTATGCGTGTCCATAATCTAGTTCTTTCTTTACTTCAACTGCTAGCACTTCGCGTTCAATTTTTTTTTTTGATGTCTTTTTTTTTCCATGCACCTTTTGAATCTTGTTCCCAACAGTCTTACACGAATGCACACATACAATGTTGTCCCCGTCGAATTAGGAACTGCAGTTTATCCCTTTTGTTTTATACGCCATAAATATCAAACATGGGCAGCTGTTCTGGAACCTGGTGCCATGTGTCCCTTTTTTTTTATACGCTATAAATATCAAACATGGGTGGCTGTTCTGTAACCTGGAGGAATTGTTGTTTGGTACGTACTATACTTTTATGGTACGATTATATGTTTTACTTTCGCTTCTTCGGCAGTTTGTCGTACTTTGGGAACATCGGAAATTCATAAAGTTCATTCTTTCTATGCAAGGCAGGAATGATGTCAGAGTCATTGTGTCAATAGGGGAAAGGGAGAAAGGCTACATTGTACACATATGCACATATATGTGTCATCCTTACCTTTCCGTGTGTTAGTCCAGATTTGTGCCTTTTCCATAGCAACCTTTTTGTTCTACAGCTGCTCTATTTCATATGGATCATAATATTATTTCACGATTCCTGGTCCGAGTGTAAGAAGGAGGAGGATTGTCTCTCCGAGCAAACGCGGCCGATTCGACGAAGTAGCCGAGTAAGCATTGTGCCGAGGGTAAGAACGCAGGAGGATTGTCTCTCCGCGTGAAGCGATTCGACGACGTGGCCGGGTAAGGTTTGTTCGAGTAAAGCATCCAGAGCAAGGGGGATCACAGAGAGGGAGGACAGAGAGAGCGGGAGAGCTGACGGAACACACATATTTTGTGGGAGGGCGAAAAACGACGGACGCAACCCAGCAACGACGGACGCAACGCAGCAACGACGGCGGACGCATTGATGTTGTTATTGCGGTTTTTAGTTGTACAACGGGTTTAGTGTACGCACACAGAGAGCCAGTGTGTGTGACAGGCGTTTCGTGGAGACCGGTGTAGAAAGGGCGCCGGGGGTGTATATTCATGACGTGTGGCGTGTAGTGTTTTTTATATTTTTTCCTTTTTTTTTTTCTTTTGTTTTTTTTCTGCTTACTATTCTATTCTTTAATTACTGTTTTTGGTTGTGCACATTCTATACCTTTGAAGTCACTGTAGTATAGGAGTAGGTGCAGGAGCATGCACAACAGTAAATTTGGGCGAATGGCATTATATAATGCATGTACGGCCTAAATTGGTACTCTATGTCAGGAGGTGTATGTTAATGAATATTCACAGGACGAAACAAATACTATACAGGAGAATAAATTATTAATGTACACGTTTGGGACAAAGGGAATATATATATATAATGCCAGAATCCGATTGTAGCATGACGGCTGAAATTAGTTCACGACTAAAGTATATGTAGGAAAACGGGTGTAATCATGGCGGAAAAACGTTTTACCCATCTACTGGTGGTGTGGCTTCAGAGGAGGGGAATATCTGATCCAGAGGATTTTGATGTAAGTAGTATGCAAACAATGGCTACAATCGGGCATGTATGGAGCACACAATAAAACACAGTGTGAATAAGGATTACGGCCGCATCTAGTTATGGTAGCATGCTCCATGAGAGGCAGTTGGTAGTAGTGTACAGGTTCTTCTAATTTCAGTTTTTACATTTTATTTATATTAGGACAAAATATGGAAGGATATGAAGCAGCGAGTGCATGAATTTATTAAATATATACGAGAAGATTTTGACGAGGTGACGTACGCACAATCATGCGAGGACACTGGGTGGGAGAATAAGAAATTGAAGGGTCAAACACCGGCGGATAGACTCCAATGTAAACTTATGGTCGCAACATTGTACTTCATGAACGAATGGGGTGTTACAGGGGGGGGGGAACAATGCGGGAGTACCAGTGATAAGGAATTATGCATTATGATGAAATGCTTGATAGGGAACATCTTTAGATACATGTTACAGGAAGCCAATTGTGGAAAAGAGAGAGGTATAAATTATGCCCTAACAGCAGTGAAGGCCGCGGAAGAGGCTTTTGGAGGTAATGTAAGTACGGATACGTGTAATTTGGGTGACTTAGATGGACTAATTGTGGGACGGAACGAGATACGATCGACAGTTAAGAAGTGGTTACAGGAGAATACGCACATGCAAAGGAAAATGATGGAAATCATGGGGAGTGGCCACTGCAAGCGCGGGAAAAGTACGGAACAGATTACAGCACACGATACGAACACGCGGAATAGGGTAAACCAGAACACGGAGGATCCACAGGTCATAGGGAATGTATTGGGGGAAGGACTGCACGATTTAATAGACAAAGTAGGGGAAACAGTTCAGGAAAAAGTGCTTCAAAAGGATCTCCAGATAAAGCACACAGAAAACACGAAGAAGGTGGGCGCCAGGACCCCACATTCCGAATCTGCAGCCAGCCCAACTGACGACAGTGCAGACGAGGAGGAAGAAGACGACGATGAGGACGACGATGCGGATGACGATGAAGAGCAGGATACGAATGGTAAGAAGAGTAAAGCAACAGAGTGCTACTAATACGGGGCATAGGAACACGCACAGCACGCACACGGCCGAATACTAACAAGGCCGGCACGGAAACTACCGATACCGATACGACTGCGCAAACGGATGCCGTCGCCAACACCACAACACACGCACACGCGGGAAGAACACCAACACGCACGCGCACGGTCACAACAGCGAACGACTTCGCGGCCCCAATTCGGTTGACGTTGAACGGCCACGACGGCAACTGTAGCGGTGACAACGCACAGGACGAGGCACCGGCGACGGATGCACCTGGACGACATGACGGCAACAACATAAAAGTTGTACTGCTATCACCCATCCCGACCCACTCGACCGAGTTCACCGCACCGTATGGTTGCTGCCGCCTGACCCAGGTCACCGAGTCCACCTAGACCCAGTCGACCGAGTACGCAATCCACCTCACCGTTCGCTTGCTGCCGCCTGACCCAGGCCACTGAGTCTTACCTCGATCCATGCAGCCGACACACTCTATCGAGCCGGACCCCTACCCTGCCGCTATCTGACCCAACCGTCCCGCCCGTTCTGTCTACCACTTGTGTCCTTTTTGTACCATGTTGTCGTGTTTCTTCCTTCTTCTGTTTTCAGCAGAGGAAGCCAAGAAGAAACACGAGGACGGCAAGAAGTCCACGGACGGCAGTACTAAGGACAAAAGTAGTGAGAACGCGCAACTACCGGCGGCGACAACACCAGCGACGCCGAAACCGGTAGCAGGAGGCACACCAGGACAGGGAACAGGAACAGGAGGAGACGTAGCAAGGAAGGACGATGACGAACAACCTCCAGCAAGACCACCACCACCTCCTCCACCAAGGACACCAGACGGTGACGGGACAGGATCAAAGGGAGAAAAAGGAGCAAAGGGGGAAACAGGACCATCAGGACCGCCTGGAGAACAAGGTAAGAAAACAGTGGCCACAAATGGAGAAGCCAAGGACCCGATAGAACAATGTGTGAATGAACTTGATCCTGATAAATTTGAGGCCTGTATGGGGATACATAAGGAACCCAACAACAGCGACCCCGTGGGTACCCCTGACGATTACCCCGGCCCTGGCACTTGGACTGCGCATGGAATTAGGGGCACAGTAGAAATAACCCCTATAAGTGTTTCTACCCATCCGCCTGTTCACACAGGTACTGTGCACTACGGTTCACATAGAAAGGACATTTTGAATACGAAAAAAAAGAATACAAGAAAAACACAAAAAAAAAAAAAAGAAACAACAACAATTTCCGGCGACAGGGGGAGAGACAACACGGAGAGAGAGAAACCAAAGGTCGAATGAGGCAGACAGCGTCAGAGGCAGCGCGATGGCGCGAGAGACACAGCCGCCGCGGGTTGTAGACGTAGACGTCGACAGACAGGTAGACGGACGTAGACCTACAGACACACTGTGTGTGTTGTGTGTTGTGCGAGAGACAGAGAGAGTCTTTTCCCGGAGTGGCACCTGCCAACCACCGTCCGCCTCCACGACGCCCGCCCTACCAACGTCCATCCGTCTCCTGCCCCGTACCCTGCCCCTCTGGGTCAACAGTGAAACGGCGCCTAACAAGCGTGTAGCCGAGCGTGTGGCCAACCAAACAACCATAACCATGCATCCACTTCAAAACTTCAGTTTCATCATACTTCTTCCTTCCCTTTCCCTGTCTCCCCATTCACCAAATGTTCAGGAGATGCCGTCGTCCATGGCGGCAACGATGACCCCCCTCCTCTGAATCCACCCAAACCCAAACCTAACCCGAACCCAAATCAATCGGGTAGTAGTGGCGGCACCAGCGGCGCATCAGATCAACCGGGTTCCTCTGGTACTGGCTCCACGGCGGCCGTACACCCTGGTTCCTCCGGTACTGGCGCCACGGGCCCTGCGAATTCAGCTTCCTCATCTAAGACCTTCACAAGTCTTGCTTGCCAAGCCTCTGGTACTTATGACGGTATGTCCTCATGCGATCTAAGATTGTCCCTGAATGCCTTCGACGGAGGACAGGCTCTGTCTGGGTCATATGGACTATGGACATCGAGCGATGTATTAGATGGCCGACCGGCACAACCGGGTCATTCAGGCGGTCCATCTGAGGATGGTGGCGGTCCACATGGACCCGACCTAACGAACGACGTCCTTACCGCCACTACTCCCATCCTGTTTTTTCTCACTTTCGTCACCGTCGCCCTTCTTGGTTATTCCCTTTGGAAAGTAAGTGCACAGCGCACATCCACACACTACGCACAACACGCCATGCCCAACGCATAACGCACAAATATAACCGAGTGCACATACCGTGTATGCGTATCCGCAATATGTACCATTAGCAAAGTGTTCCTAAGGGGGCTGTTCAGACCATCCTAACACAAATAGATTCACCTAATCCGGCTTTTTTTCTTCTTTTTTTTTTTTGTTTAGTATTTTGCCTACTTCGCCCAACGACGACGAACGTATCGAGCAGTGCGTGACGTGCCGTCACCGCCACTCGACGAAGAAATATTGCAACATCTACAACGCGGCGAGCCACCACCCGATTACGGGTACACCGTGGTTAGGGATAGGCAACCCGCGTCAATACCTGGTACAAAACGCCCCCCACGCGTGCATAAACGCACCATCATCGAGCTACACTTAGAAGTGCTCAACGAATGTGACGCGACCGCATGGGAAAACGTCAAAGACCACTATTTGCAGATACTTGTGGAGGAGTTTGCGCGCGACTTGCAGCAGGACGCAAAGGGGCACAGTAGTTTCCCGGATGCTCCTACCACAAACCAGGATTTATTAGGAAACAATGTTTCCTCCACCGTGGATCCACCCACTGACACCGCTGTAACGGATCCATGTCCACCACATGACCCCGATCCATGGAGTTGTATGGAAGCCATACAGTTAGCAACGGAACCTTGTCCACCTAATGAAGATGACCCCGATCCATGGAAGTGTATGGAAACTATACAGTTAGATGCAGAACAAATTCGTCCTTCTCGAATTCCTGAGAATGCTAATTCGAGAATAATATTCACGATAAAGAATGGTATGTGGATAATTTTATGTAAAATATTTGAAATTCTATATGATCTTTGTTTACTTAACATATTATTCTCAAAGGATCCCCTTCAGGGCATAATATATCCATCACCGGAATAGATCAATTTTTTAATAAATACATGTTTACTATGAAGAAGTTGCACGAAATGGCTATATGCTCTAATAATTCAAAAATCGAACTGTAACCGAAAACCTGCCATCAATAACTGTACAATGATTCTACATGTTCGCCTTAAATAATTAATTTCCTTGGGATGACTGTTAATTATAATTTTGTCTTGCACCGGTTCTACGTACAAATATATATTTGTTCCCCTATTCTATAATATACTAAACGTTACGTCATAATTTGGATGTAAAAAATGAAACCCTCCATATGTGGTATTTTCATTTTACTTAATTTTCGCTGTTTCATATAATTATTACTTTCTTCATACTGTAAATTTTGTTTATGCATGATTTGTATTAAAAGGACATATATAAAATGAATATAGAACAGTTCGAATTCTATATTTAAAGTAAAAATTATTTTTTAACGCTTCTTTCAAAATATTGATCTTCGCACATGAAGAACACAAAAAGCAGTCGTATTGTCACGTACAACATGATACTACTAAAAATTATAAACGGCTTACTGCTCTTCTCATAGTATTACAGATAAATGTATTATTACATATATTTCTGTTTCTTTTTAGTACAAATGAAAAATTTAAACAATATGTCCTGTTACTGTTTTTAGTATACCCTATAATATATTCATGAATTCTTTAAAAATTTCTGTATGTACCACAGAATGATTCTAATTTTATAGTGCAGTGCCTCTAAAATACAAATTATTGAAGAAAATATATGTTCTTCCCTTTTATTTTTACATTGCGCCTTTTTTTTTTATGATTTATTACTACATCTATTTAATGAATTAAAACAGCATATAAACGTAAAATTATATATAGGAAATATATTATAAATTAGGAAAGAAAATTCATGTAAATTTTTTCTTTTTGCATCTAGACTATACGCACCCCCCGCAAAGCATTACATTATCTTACCTACATTTAGAACATTCATTTCAGTACAAATAAAAACAAAACAAAAAAAAGAACTATATGCACTTCGTCAGAGTGAATATTTTTTTTTTTTTTTTTTTTTTTTTTATTTGTATCTATTCTTATATACTTATGCCCTTACATTATGTTTGAATGTTCTTGGTGACGCCTTTACATGCCTGCCAAAAAATTATAAGAAACTATTTTTGTGAGATTGCTCCAAGGAATTAGAGAGAGAGGTGTCCCACAGAAATGCAATCTGGCAAAGCCATTATCTCCATCTGGCTTCTTCCCTTCCTCCTTTGGGCCCGAGAATATACCAAAAATGTAAGTTGAACAAAATTCACATATATGTGTCCCCACGGCGTAGTGCCCTTGGACAGGCCCACATGCTCAGCAGGAACGAGAGTGTGCCTACTACAGCGACTGCTTCGACTGTAGCCGCTGTACTAATTATGCCGATTGCCACGATTTGAACAGACAACGCTTATTGCCTAGCGCGTGTGTGTGTTCAGGCAAGTGTCCCAGTAATGGTACACCTTGCACGTATCCCATTGCATCACGCGCAATCGCCCCTCGTGCTTTCTTATCCATGTGTGTATAAGCGCGCATACCTTGCTTCTCACATGGGCTTCCATATGCGGCACACAGTTTCTAGCCTGTTAGAGGATGCGTTTAGAAAATGACCTCCCGCATACAAACAGACATACACACGCGCAATGATTTCATAGACGACTCCTCTTGTAATCATTCTACCATTCTTCATTCCTTCATTTGTTCCCTTTCCTAATCCCTCACTTACCCCTTTCTCAGGGTGCCCTTAACTGCAATGAAGACAACGACGGCGCGCAGACACAAGTCAGCCTAAGGTCTGGTAGAATGCTGTACGAACGTGGCGGCCTCCAGAACGATACCGACGTCAGTATAACTTCCCTAGCGCGTGTTGACAACTTCTATAGCAGAAGCAGATCTGGAAGCGTTTTTAACAGAAGAGTCGCACGACCCACTCACAGCATATATAGTGGAAGCAAAGGGAAAACCTGTGGTAACATTGGCAACGTCCATTACAAAAGCAGTATTAAAGAATCCTTCGATAATGACTTCGAAAGCTGTATAGGTACTACCAGCACAAATGCTCCCAAAAGTGTAGCACGCTCCATAAGTACCTTTCACGTGGACACAAGTAGGAAAGGAAGCCATGAGGACGTAGCCTCGAATAAACAATCTACCATAGATGAATCCATCCTATTCGATATTCCTGATAATAGCAGCGTCAGCAGCCATAACTCAGGTTCTACGACATGGAGTACGACGACAGGTGCGAATACAGGCTCCGGCAGCACTACCATGGACAGTTTTCACAAAAGGCAAAGAAGCAAATACTACGACAGTTCATATGAAGATTTACAAACCGTAGAAGAAAGAGAGAAAATGAAGCGAGCCAAGGAAATGGCACAGAGGAAAAAAATTCTGGATGAATCTACTTACGATCTGGAAAATGTCAGAAACAGCTTCAAAGGACACTCGAACAAATATTACATACAAAACAAAGATAAATACATTTACGAATTTAAGAGTGAAGAATCCCTAAATGAAAGATTAAAAGAACTGAACGCTGTAAAACAGGAATCACTTCAAGACGTCAAGAAAGGTTCTAAGAAAAGTAAAAAATCTAAACGCAGAGCAGAATGCGAAGGCGAATTCTCCTCATACCTGTCTAATGACAAAATCGATCAAGCAGATGACTCTATTTTGGACGTTAACCACAATAATAAACTCCTAAGAAAATTAACAGAATTTAATGCAGAAGATAGAGAACAAATGAGAAAAGCATTGAATAACATAAAAAAAAATAATAGAAAAAATGCAAAATTGGAAGATTTAGAGCATGAACTAAGGTCTCAATTAGAGGGTCTCACGAAATATGTAAACGTGGATGATGATGCACGCAGCTCCATTAGTGGCAGCACTGATGATTCTATGCCTGAGAGTGACAATGTCTCATCTATATATGTTGGGAAACGAAGAATGGAGGATCGATCCAACGAACGAACCGGGAATAACATCACAGAACTCAGATCTTACATCGACCAAGTCATGGACGCGAATAATGCTGAAATCGCCCACTTGTTGATTAACAAAATTGAGGAGTACGAAAAGGAGGTCTCCAAACTGAAAGAGAACAACAGGAAGGAAGTGAACTTCATAAACATGAAACATAATCTCAAATTGAGGAAGATCCTTCTCTCCGTTCCTCTCATTGCGCTCGTCACGAGTGCCATCCTATGTTTCTTTCTCACACAGTACTGGGCACTAGCATTCATTACTGTTTTCTGCATTAGTTTGTACAGTTTCGTCATAGGAACCCTGTTCTCTTATATAATTCTGGGAAAAGTCATGTTTAATTCGCCCTCCAAAGTGATTGATTTTATGCTAGGACAAAACTAAAAAGTGAATGCTGATTATATCTGACCCAGAAGAAAAAAATTAATGTACTGAACCATATACCTGCACCAATTTTTCCTCTCTGATGAGTCACATTACCAATTGTGTAATAGAAGCAGTGCACTTATACGCAATGCACCATGTCGAAGAGACATGTAAAAATTTTAACAAAAGTGATTCCTTTAATTTGTTCTTTAAAGGGTAGCATACATTAACGTTACCTTATTTTTAGTAAAAAACACGCCCCCCTATATGTTCATATTGTGCAGTAAAAAAAAGGATCAATCTAGGATGGCTTAACATATTTTGTATATGAAGAATTAACTTTAGTTCTAATTTTGTTTTAAAAATCATGAACATATGACCTTAGCTGAACTCATAGGGATCGTTGTAACTTCCCTGCTGTAGAGCACTTATGTGTCCAACTGTGTACACCCTTGTAGTATGCACATAATGTGCAGTTTGCATCATCCTTAATAATTTACAAGTAATAACATGTTTCCATTACATACACGTGCACTGTGCATGCTTAGGAGATCTAGAGTTTGTAACAATTTTGTGAACATACACAAACAGATTAAAATATAATTTATAAACGTGTAACAATGCGGTGACGTGTATGAGTATGAAGAATATTCATAAAAATGATAACCGTTGAAACCTTTGTAAAAAATTTGCAGTGACCACATTATGAAGATCTGTACCATTTAGTTGTCCATAATGAGGCATTCCTATTTTTAAGGCAGACAAGCTCGTTCACCCCTTCCGCTTAACATTTTCTTAATGGATCAAACTGCGTTACGAATACGTCACGTTCCATGAACAACTGCGAATGACATATTCTACGAAATAAGTGAACTAAGCATACTTTTTCATAACATGCGCAATCGTATCCTTAGCCGCTACTAACAGCCTGAACAGGGTTGGGAGACGGAAACAACAATCCCAATATACAGTTACATGAGCCTCCTTCAGTAAGCCCAAAATGAGTTCGAGCTGTTCATGAACATTCTTATATGTGTCCGATGTAATACCAAATAGTAATTATTTTAATATTTCTTTCAAAAAATAGAAAAAAAATTATGGTAAAGAACACATAACACTTTTTGTAACTTCTGAACTCCACATGACTGCTACACGTGTGGGAATCTTTAAATTAACCATACTTTAAGCATTACACGACGCTCAGTTTTTATATAAATTAATTTCCATGCATTCATTTGCATTCCAATGAGATAATTTGCATTTCCTTATATTCGTTATTTCGTTGTATACACTTAAAATGAGCCCCCACACGCAGTGCGCACTGATAAACTTTGATGGTATGAAATAAAATGTGATATGTAAACTAGCTTTTAAAAACATATACACATGCACACACGTTTTACTGACTGTTACTTTCTTTACCTTTTTCCTTCATTGTGGTATTTCCTTTTCCCACATTCTGCCACTAAATTACACGAAATTTTATATGCGTCCAGTGCGCTATCAATTTTAATGCGACCATTTAACTATACTGGCTAGTTTTAAATTTTGTATGCAAGTTTCCTGCCCTTCGTTCAACATATAAAATTTTAGTATGCAAGCTGGTTAAAATAACGATGCAATGTTATCATACCTAAAAAAAATAAAATAAAATAAACGATTCCATGTGTTAAATTCTGAAATACTACTTTTCCTAATGTGTTGATCTAATCGACTATTTCTGATATAAACATGTAGAATGTTAACGACGCAAAATATGCGTTGTATGAAAATAATATTCTAAAATTGCTAACCTTTCCCCTTTTCCTTCCTTCTTGTCTTTAGGAATACTTTTTTTATGTTAATTGGAAAAAGAATATAATTACATATATGACACTCGAAATTTGCTCAACCTCACGTAAAAAAAGTAATAAATAATATTTTTGCTTTTTCCTAGCGTATTTTTATATACATGTAAATATATATATATATTTATAATACAATAGAATAGTGCATTGTTTTAATTAGTGTTAGTGTGTTATTGTTTTTTTCTTTTTTCTTTTTTTTTTTTTTTTTTTTCATCAATCATAAGCTAAAATTACTCCAAAAAAACTCATAAATATGTAATTCGTGCGCATACATTTATTAGGTATTATACAATATTATAAATGGTGTTTTATACCGCTCTTGTGTTTTTTTCATTTTGGAATGATATATTTGCCATATAAAATCCAATCACATTTGCTTTGCGTATTTTGCGCGATAACGGATACACGATTTTTAATTTTTGCAAAACATAATTGTAAAATAAAATTACCCTTAATTTTAATTTAATTTTTGTTTCATTTTTAAGTTTTAGTTTGTAGTATTTTTTTTTTTTTTTCGAATATTATACATAAATGTTTACGCACGAATTGTTTTAGGTAAGAATGCACATTTCCTACGCGCATTAACATAACATATAAACATTGGAATTGCGCACTTCACTTGCGTTTTTAAGTGAGAAACACCTGAAAAAACGCATTCAAAGGTGTTAAAAAGTGCCAAGTGATAAGTAAAAAACACCACGCATTACAATGCTAAGTATTACACAAGGGAAAAATCATTGTATAGGAAGTTTTAAATAAATAATTTCTTAATTTACTATAATGACCTAATAACATTAAATTATCAATGAGAGAAAGGACAGACTGTAAACCACACCTCTTTGTTATTACTCTTACCATTACGCTTTTCATATTGACCTGGAATCATTTATATGATGTAAGAAGATATGAACATTAAATTTAACGATGTATTAGCCCCATCGCTTTTTCCTGCATTCTCATTTGTAGAGAAATATTTTTTTCATTTTGCTAATACGTACATCCGTTTAACTCCCCTTTTATTTCTTTTTCTTAGTCACTCACCACTGCTAATATATGGGACAAGCGAGTCTTCCTTCAAATTAGCACGTTACACACAGCAGCAGCTAGAATATTAAAGGGTGATATTGAACCAGGAACGCAAGAACAATTTAATGCGTTAAAAGAAAGAATTATAAATTTGCTAGATGAAGATGATGATGCATTCAGAGAAAGATTTAAGGCATTAACACAAGATGAAGTTTTTAGAAAAGAATATGATGTGCTGATGAGTCAGTACAATCTTGAAAAACTGTCAAATGCACTAAAACGGTATGATTACTTTGAAAAAAGAGTGAATCCCTTCAAAAATAATAAGTGTACAAAAACGCCCAAAGCTATAAAAAACAATAATGAGTCGGACAACCAATATGATGAATTTAAATATTACTATGACGACTACGAAGGAACAAATCGTGCATTTTATTATGTAAATGATTTTCGAACAAGGCAAAAAGCAAAAAAGCACAAATATCGGAAACGGTTTAGAAGGAAGCATAAATTGAAAAGGAGTAATATACCAAGAATATTTAAATATTTAAACACAGCTATTTTAAAGATTAAGGCAAAAAAGCCAATTGCTTATGAACCTCCCTATAAGAATCATTATGGGCTTAAACCTACTTCCAAAAATAGCAAAAACATGTATCACTTGGAAAATTTTAAATTCCAGCTTTCACTATTTTCAGTAAAATTGTTAAAAGCAATTTTACTCGTACTATACTATACAACTCACGAAGCTATGGAGTTACTTTTTCCATAGGTCTTATTACAATCTTTTATTTATTATATACACAAATTGCAGAAACACACAAGTGAATAAATAACACACTTGTTATGCAAAATAAATAAAGATTTCAGTACCCCTATGGTTATTCAACAAAAAAAATTTTTTCATGTAAATCTTCAAAATTGATTGTATTGATTTTTTTGGACGCACTTAAACTCTTATTTTCAAAAGAAGAAAAGAAAACAAAAAACAAAAAAAATTACATTCCTTACATATTTACAGTAAAGGAATTATTATTTCTTTTCTTTTTTCGTTTTTTTCTTTTTTTTACATTTTTCATTCCGTCTATCGTATGCAAAATCGGCATTGTTTTTGTGTTCTAATGATTACATATAAACACGACTAAACGTAATCATACCGAGTAACGCATTTTTCCGTCAAACAAATCACTGTAGCAACTTTTGTTTTTTATATTTAAAAACTTATTCAAGCTTTTAATTAATATTCATTATTAGCTTAAACAGAAAATAAAATTCCATCCTCTATTTTTTTCCTTTTTTTAGAATCAAGTACGCATAGCACTATAATATTATGCATTTTCACCAGGTCTCTCTAAGAATCCCCCACTTCCCTTTTTCCCTATTTTTTATTTCATTGTGTTACCATTTCGCACCTTATTATATGTCTAATATGTCTAATTCTTTGCCCATTTCACAAACTACACAAATTATTTCTATCACATACACTCCTGTACACATCATCCTCAATTCACACATTCTTGTCTTTGCACCAGACACTGATACTTTGTTACTAGCGTCCTAGACACCTACATCTCTCTCGTAATAATTGATTCATACTGATTTGCCTTTCTCCATTTCTATATACATAATCATCGTTGATGAAGATGATAAATATTCACCGTCCTCCATGAATGTTGTTCAAATTTTGTTTTCCCTTTATCCATGACAAAAGTGCTTTTCCTCATAAATCTCATAAACACAACTCTAATAATCTTTACATTTTGTTCTCCCGATCTGCACCTTTTAGCTAGTTTTTCTATCCTTATTTGTGGCCACTCATTCGAACATGTAACGACTGTAGGGAGCATGACATTAGTGAAAATATATATATCAAAAAATGCACTAAAACATGGTGGGACCATGGATTTAATGAAAAATAAATATAAAGGTGTAAAAGGGGCCTATGTGCCAATTGTAAGAGTGTAAAGTTGATTCATTTGAGTATGGCATGAAGCATATCCTTACAATTTTAAGCTATCTTTTATCAGTATAACGTAAAAATCGTTGGATCCGTAGATACATCCCTTTCTAAATCATAATCCACTTCATCTTAATTATTGGTTGGTACATGTTTTTACACGAAATGCTAACTTTAAATTGTAATCAATCAAAATATGTTTTTAGTGTACACTTATTTGCACTTAAACGTGGCGTTTTTTTTTTTTTTTTTTTTTTTTTTTATCTCTATAAGCCTTTTAGAAGTATATACTGTACTGCAAATACCTAAAATTCGTTTACTAATCAGTGAGTTGGAATATTTGGTGCATCTTTTCTTGCGGCGCCTTGTTTCCACAGTTTGTTCTTTTTCATGTTAATTTCGATTACAGCCATATACTGCCAAAGTCTACTGCCTTAAAAATGTTATCTATTAAAAAACGCATTCAACAGCCACTGTCCGCCAAAGTACTCTTTTGTTTCGTATAATTCGTATGGTATATTTCCTGCATGTGCCGTTGCAGAATGTACCATCGCTCAATTGGTTATAATTCCTTTCAGCCTTCACGAATATTTTGTCTAGAAAAATCCTCTACACAAATGTACTCATGAAAAATAATTTGGTCATTTTAATATTTACAAAAAACATGACCCTTATACAAACCAATGCATTATAGTGATGCCTCTTAACAAACGCGTGAAGTTTTATTGGAAACACGGTATAACGAAATTTCCCCTAATAGGAAATGTTCAGTTCTTTATCTTGGTTCAAATAGCAAACTGCTTATATAGAAAAATGAAAGAAATTCCTGAATAAAAATAAAAAAACGGATCAAATTAAATAATTTCTTTTAAGTGTTATATAATTATGGTGCTTATAGTGCAACCCTATAACCCGTGTATCTAAAATTAACACTAAACCCAAGAAAAAAAAAAAAACAAAAAAAACATTCTTATTAATATCAGCATACAAAATCATCATTCTACTATTTTAACTTCAATCTATCAACGATGTAGAGTAAGATACAAATTCTTGTAATTATGTTAATTTTGAGAAAAGAATATTTAAATTCAAATAAATGCAACTGCTTAAGCGCGCTTACAAATGTATATGTGTATGTCTATAGACTCATTTAAAATTATCATTTTTGTTTGCCAAATTATAACATTTTGGTAATATTACCACTAGGACAAATTAAGTTGTTGCACCTACTAAAAAGAAAAATCTTATGCAAAAACAAAAGATGTGAGGAAAAAGAAAACAGAAAGGAAGGAGCAAAATGAACAGCAAAGAAAACAATATGAAAGGTACTTCATTATAACAAATAAAATGTGTATTCGCATAAAAATTCAATTTATACAAAACAACAACAAAAAAAAAAAAAAAAAAAAAAAAACAACAAGAATGTACACATCTCTGTAATTTTATTTTATAAGAAAAATCATCACAAAAAAACTCGTGAATAGCTTAACAATCCCAATAGCCCTATGTACAACACTTGCACAAACTATTATTTTTAGAAAAGCACATTTCTGAATTGTCACCATTTCAAAACATTTATTCTTTCACTGGTGTCTATTATGATTCCTCTGACGTTTCAGCTATATCTTTATGAAAAGGTTCCCCTGACATTTTTTCATAAAATTTTTTTTCCCATTCATCCCAAATTTGTTGTCTGAGACTTTCCTGTTCATTTCGATACTTATGAACATTATCTTCATAAGCCTCCGGCGATTTATCCTTTTGGTTCACAATATCATAAATCTTTTGACTATAAGTATATTCCAAAGTTCTTGCTCTCTGCTTAGAGTCTTCCTTAGCCTCACTTAAAAGGATACCTGATAATTTCATACTGTAGTTACATATTTTTGCTGTTTCTTTGCAAAGTCTTGACAATTGCATATAAAAATATTCCAACTCTATTTTCTCCCTGCTGCACCCTTGCCACCAGGTACCAAGAGCATACATTTTAGAAAAGCAACCTGGTTGTGTTAAATAATTAAGCATTACAGCTAGTTCATATTCGTCTAAAACCTTTTCATTATCAAGGCATCTTTCTCGCAACTCTTCTATGTTCGCCATTTTCATATTTACTTTACGTTTCTTTGAATATGCGTTTTCCTGTGTTACAGCACTAGCATAAATCAGAGGTGACAATGCCCATAACACATTTAAAACAGATGATACAATTGACATTACTCCAGTTCTATTGCTGCTGTTTTGAAATAATTTCCTAGAAAATCTAGCAGTTAATTCCAATTGTGAATTCTTCGTATTCTCAAATGTGCACGTATTCTATATAAAAGTTCGGGAAATCAAAGATAAACATGTAAAGTGCCATTTTTAAAAGAATGCAACACAAAAAACCCTAATGTCATGCAAAAAAATGTGCCTTCTTTCTACTAATACATATATATATATATATGTGTTATATACATATATTCGTCTTCCTACACTTTACCTGTAATATTACACAAAGAATGGCACCTATGGCGATAATTGTACGTCTGGAAAAAATAAAGCTTAACAAATTTCCCTTTGCATTAATCTTTTTCCCATTGCTGGATAAGTGGTAGACGTTTTCGCCAGCATCTGTCTTATTCGAATGTGAAAGTTTCTTTCCAGATAATAAACTGGAACTGTTTATTTTATTGAGATTCATGTCTAATTATTAACTTTTAATAAAAAAAAAAAAAAAAAAGAAAGAATAAGTTATTTGGTGGTTTAATTAAAATTGTTGGAAATTTTCATTTTTTTATAACTTTTGTTTTTATTTATAACACTAACGGAGATACAAACAAAGCAGAATAGAGCAAAGCGAACATAAAATAGAAAATTGTGTCTTACTGTGCGCATTCAAAATTATTTTATTTTTGATAATCTTATTTTTTATGTAAAATCACAAATGACTGCTTAAGAATTAACATAAATCTGGACAATAAAAACTGGTAAAAAAATTCACTTCAAATAACTTCTGTAAAATTATTAAAATGACATTTACCAATGATGAAAAACAAAAGAAAGAAATAAATATAAAATTCCTTTCTCTATTTTTTTTTTTTTTTATTAATTAAAAAAAATATAAGTACCAATACAGTTCTTAATATAATTTAAGAATATATTGTGAAAACATGCTTAACAAGATGAGAGCGAATAAATTTTTGATCTTTCTTTTTGCATACAAATTAATATTTAAAAAAAAAAAAAAAATGCGCAATTCAATGAACAAATTTTATTATTTATTTATTTTTTTTTTTTTTTGATAAAAAAAATAGACCCTAATTAAACGAATTTATAAAAAAATTTAGCTAATTTTTCCGTTTAACAACCCACTTATGTTATAATGAAAGAACAATGCTTTTTTTAAGATCAAAATTCGGTTTAACTCCTTAAATGTTGCCATATAAGAGAAGAAAATATCAACACTAAAATAATCAGTCCTTTTCATTAATTTAATTTTGCTGGAATAGGACACTGTCCACAATGGTAAAATAATAGGTTTTTATTATTTCCCCAATTTCGCAAATTTGTATTCTTGTGAAGAGGGGTTGTATATTTTGTTTTTTTTGTTATACATCCGTGCATTTCCTTTCATATGTATTTTAAAACATATTAAAAAACAACAAATGAACAAAAAATAAATATAACGAACTGTTCCTTTTATTAGTGTTAAATAAATGCTAAGCTTGTTAAATAACAGTGAAATAAACGAATGAATATTAGGCATTTGCGACATCATCAAAATTTTCAACTTTTACATCCATGTTGAAAAAAGATAACGCCCTTCATGTGGTTTCCTTTCCTCTTTTTAATTTTTTCTTACATTTTAATTTACACCCATGTCTTACTAGTTGCTGATTATAATCTCCGTTGCACTAAAATACATGGATATTTCATGAAACCTTTCGTGGGCAAATGTCCACATGAAATGACGATGCCTAATGGTTTGACATAATTTTCCTTACGATAAATATATGATTAGAGTACTATGAGATTCCAATTTTTAAAAGTGCAATGCATAATGCTGAAATGGGTACACCCTTGTTAACCCTTTGCGCGACATTAGGATTACCTCCAAACTAATAAAAAAAAAATTTCTATCAAATAATTCTGTGCGATCCAAATGAACGGCCATGATCCTTATATATGTAACCAACTCAGATTAATCAATTCCATTCATTTTTTGTGCTCAAAAATTAAAATATTCTATTAGCACAAGGATGGCTCATTTATACCTTTGTACACTATATACCAACTAACAATTTGCTGCATTTGAATTTGCCCCACAAATTCTGTTAAGTAATGTGGCTCTTCATTAAACAACGCCCTTAATACATTTCTCATGTGGGGATAAACACAACAATGAAACAAAATGCATACATAATAGATGTTCCCGTCTAATTTTTCTTTTTAAACATGTTTGGAATTTTTATTCTAATAAATTATATTAAGAACATTTTTTAAAATGGTAAAATTATCTAAGGTGGACAATTTTTTTTGTTTTTTCTAAACCACCATATATGCATATGTTACAACAATACGCATTATATGTTACACTATATTTTTGGCCCCTCATAAATCTTTAATAACTCTTTTAAGAACAAGAAAGAATAACGAAAATGGATCGACAAATTATATTACCAAATTGGGGCATAAAAGCAGTGCTTCCTACACAGGGACAATTGCTCTGCACTACTATGCGTATTATGATTATCCAAATTATAGTTCTAATAAGTTACCTAACAAAGGGAGCTGTTAAATACCTTAGTTTATGTGCACCAATTATGATAACATATGTGCAAAAGTGTGAATGTACAAATGTAAATATACTCCACACCGTCTAAAATGCCATATTTTTGGCCTCACCGGAAGGGTCTTATTTATTCCGTTTTCACCTGTCCTCAAAGATTTGGCTGCATTTTAAAAAGTTCAGTTTTCTGTACAAAATTTTCAAACATGAGGTCTTTTACTACTGAAATAGGCAAAAAGGAGAAATATGCTCAAACATGTAGGAACACTTCAATAGGGTACGCTTCATAAGACACAAGTTAACACATTGGGGGCAACCAAATGGCACTGCTTAATTTTATTCTCTACATTTCAGTAGCTGCTATATATAGCATACACGTTTTGGTTAGTCATCCCTTTAGATTACTTCCCTCCTAAGGAGGACAAGATAATGTGTGTATTGCTCAAATTTGTGTAAGCGCTTATTCCTTTACGATAAGGCTTTCGTTTTTGTTTCCTTCCAAAAAAAGCATTATTCCCTTTTTACAACTTTTCTAGCTTCCCCTAGCGCAGCTACGCATATGCTGTTTACCAATTCCTATATTCCTCAACGAACGATTAACTAAAATACCAACTGCATATTTTGTAAACACAAAAATGCCCCAATTTGTGTGCTTTGGGCACAATTTTAAGCACCTGCCCATTTTTCAGAAGAAAAATGAAAAAACATTCCCATTTGGTAGCTTGAACCTTGTTAGATCCTGTTTTTGTGCAGTAACATGTGAAAAATGTGCCAATTATATAATACCATTTTATTTTACAACGAATTCGCTTTAATGATAAACTATGGTACAAATTTCATAATAAATTAGCAAAAAGTTTCAAATTTCTCATGTCGGATTTATTTTTGTTTACATTTGTCTTTTAAAATTGTTTAATTTAGGAAAAAAACAAAACTAATACATAAAATATTATGCTAAAACATAGAATTAATTATAAAATATAAAGTGGGTTTGTATACATTAACTAATAGACATATAAATTAACTAATTAATTCAACGTAACTATATATGCATAAGGGATGACATCAAATGTTAATCTTAAAAATTGGACATGCACAATGGGAAAAGCATTCTTTGCATGTGCATATATAATATGTATACATACATATATACATACAAATTTTCATACAAATACAATACATGAATTAAAAGTAGCGTTCTTAAAACAAAATCAGCGCCCTATAATAATTAGGCATTGTGTTCTTTTAAAGATGGAAAAACAAGACATCAAAAAAATGTATGTATGTATATATATATATATAGACTTATATAAGCGTATATGTGCATATGTGCACAACTAAGCATATAGATACGTATATATATACATACATATGTATATTTTTTTATGCATGTACGTATATGGTGCACATTTCTGCATATATGTACGCACATACTCATATATAGGGCACATGTGTAGATTCATGCGCACACAGCTACACACACATTACACACATATGGATAGCTTGAAGGCGCCTACTATTTACGCTACTATGTTGTTACACTAATACTCTTTACAATGCGGGAACCATATTTGAATGTAGAGCAAATGGTCTGATAAAAATATCAACACATACCATAATTGCATATGTATATTAATATGTTATACAATACTAGCGAGTACCAAAAAATGTCAGTCCAGCCCTAACTATTATATACAAATTGTACGATTTTCCTGAAGGATTCATACTTTTGATTTTATGTAAAGTTCTGAGGATGGATCACGTAAACCATCATGCTTTAAACGGCTTCGCTCCATCTATATTTTTACTCTTCAAGTGAACAGAATTTCATTAAAAGTGTATATATGTGCTTCTCCTTTTTTTTTTTTTTTTTATTTTTCCTATTAATTATTATTACTGTTATAGTGCATTTTCACTATTTTGGCCAAGAAATAGAGTGCTATAATATGACGGAAATTGCTTATAATAGCTGATATTACGTAGTAAAGAAACATTAAAAAAAAAATTGGGGCCATTTTATTTAGAACGGGCGATGCAAATAACTGCTGGTCCAGTAACATGTGCTTTACATAACTTACTATGGAGGTATTTTTATTATTATCATAAGGAATTTTTCGTGTTGCTAGGTGCGTTGGATAATATACAGGCTGTATCATTCGATCCTTATCCGGTTCCCCTTCTTGTACGTAATATGACACTACTTCAGGACCTTGACGATTATGATTACCATTAACATGTCCATCTCTTGCATCATAATTGTTATGTTCTCTAACATCTTCATGGCCACTGTGATAATGACGGTCATGATAGTTTCTTGGAGGAGGAGGATGATCGTATCTTCGTTCCAGCACCTCTGGTTTTGTTTCGTTTCTATTATCATTATTGTTTTTTTTGTTACTAGATAACAAGTAATTTACAACTGTTTCCTTTAGCACTTCCATTTCTGGGCTCAGATTACTTCCTCCCCCTTGTGCTAAACATCTGTTTTGCACTCTTTTAAGCGACGCTCTTCCCTTTGCATTGTAGTAGCTGCCATTAGCTTTACACGACCTGTTCAAAGAACACTAAAAAGGGGATGGGGCGGGGGAAAAGTAAAAAATGGAAAGTGTATACATTAAAAAAACACATTTTTTTCTCTCACATATTATCAATATATTCTTGTAAATTCTGTTAGCTGCAAAATCCAATTAAGGCTATGCAAATATGTCTAAAACAAAAAATCAAGTATGTTCCACTTTTCTCTATTTTTACAAATCTTACATTATTATTAAAACATTGTAATGTCCAAATCAGAAGGGTAACTACACAAATATTCACGAAAATAGGGAACCTTTTTTTTTTTTCTTCACTAAGATATTTCTTCACAGTTGCCATGTTTGAAACAATGGTTTAACTTGTTTTTTTTTTTTCTCCTTCCCGCTTTACAGCGTCTGGTATTAAGTATACAGTCACATTAAATTTTCAAACACTCCAAATATATGCCTCTTTCTCCAGTTTTCAAATCTCGCGTCTGATTTTATTTATTCATTAAAACTGCAGTAAGAACAATTTTCCGTTTTAAATATTCCCTTACTAGCCCGTGGAGAACTAACTATCACGAAGGAATATTATATGTATACTACTTACGCAAAAATATTACATTTAAAAATATTACATATATTATATACCTAGATTTTTCTTATACAAAATATGTTAAACGTAGAAATTTATATCTATGTAAGGTAAATAAATATCTTTTATGGTCATTTATTAAAATGTCATATGAAATCAAATGTACAATCTGCGGAAGGTTACAGGCTAATATAATTACAGTATATATATATGTATAATATTAAATTGTCATTTTCTTTCCATAAAGATGATAAGTATAATGATTCACAAATTTCTAAATTATTAATATTTTGTTTCATGAAACAAAGTATTAATAAAATTCGGAAAGTAACATATAAATATATGTATTGTATTATATACATATATATTTTTTTTTTTTTCCATTTAGGAAAAAAAAAGGGAATGAAAAAAAATGTTTAATAAATATTCTTTTTTAACACCTAGTAAATGAAAATGAAGCAGTGTAAGTTTATATATGAAATAAATGAAATATAATACATACGATTTACATTTATTTTTCTTATTAGAATTACATTTTCATCATTGACAATAACATGTCTTTTAAAGGAAACATAACATTTGTGTCAATCTGCCCAATCTCCATTCTGTCATTTATTTCCAATTCCCTGTTATAAAATAATTTTGTCGCTCCGCCATTTTTGGGAATCTTACAATAATTTGCGTGGCACAAAAAAATATTTTTAAAATAATAATATTTAAAGCAGTAGCAATAAATAAAATACTACTGCATTTATAATATATTTAAATTTCCATATATGCATATTTATTATTATTATTATTATTATTATTATTATTATTATTATTATTATTATTATTATTATTATTATTATTGTTTTTTTCCTTTTTGTAATTTTGAATCCTCTATCGATAAATACAACCATACGCAGCTAAAGTAAGAGGGTAATATGTAAAGTACAAAATAATAGTAAAAAAGCGGTATGCGCATTTATAATTTCTTTAGGTTAAAAATATAAAAAATAAAACTACGTATCGATTTTATTTTTATTGCTTCGAATACTGACCAAATCCTGTCCACCATTTTATTTAGGCAATTGCACAAAATGTAATGAAGTTAATGAAGCGGTACGTTTAGCATAATTTTTGCACATATATGTGCATACATACGTACATACATATATACACATACATATATATACATATACATATATATACACATGTACATATACATATACATACATGTGCGTACATACATGACATATAATTGCGTGCCCTTATCAAATCGTACAAATAAATCATATTGTATTGGGAATTCTTTGCAAACATGTCTATTTGTGATACCCTGTGTACGATTTTTTCCCTAAAACCTTGCAAACGCGCTGTACGTCTTTTTTTAAAATTGAAATACGTTAAAGGCATTAATAAATTAGTACATATTATTTTCGGATAAAATACCATGCCATAAAATTCAAGCAGATATTTAGAAAAAAAAAAAAAAAAAAAAAAACGATGAACAGTTTGCCAAAATTCTAAGAAATAAAAAGTTATCTATACCTTATAATGCAGTACTTACATTCATTAAAAAGAACTTTCGTTTCAAAACGGCGTTGTGCACATGTGTAAATGTCCACCGAATGGTTAACCGTTAAAGGGTTATTTTATTCGTGTTCCTTTTCGAAATACCTTTTACACAGCCGCTTTAGTCCCAATTAAGCTATTAACCCATATATCGCTCAAATTAACCGAATAAATTAGTAAAAAAACAAGGCCACTTGTTCAAACTTTTCATAACATGTCATAATAAATATCTCCACATGTATGAAGTATGGTATTTACAAAGAGTCTTATTTTGGACGAGGAATTCCCCTCGGGTAAATCCATTTGTAGTACCGAATAGAATAAATTTGTGCTAGTTATAATATAAGTCTACCTTTAACCTTCCTCATTAATATTTAATTCAACAATTAGTAGAAGAAGAACTATATCTCCTAATTGGTAAACTTGGTAGTCCTATCTCCCTTAAAAAGGGCACAAATAATTAGTATAGTTATCACATACAATAACGTAGAATTATGGAACGTTAAAATATATGTACCATGTTTTAATACAACGTTGAACAAGGGTTCATGTTTATTCGAATGTTATTGGTTCAAATACTTTCTACATTTATCCTGCCGGAGAATGTAAAATACGCCATTTCATACGTTATATACATTTTGATCAAATTTATCGTGTGGAACAGTGACAACTGAGAGTTGGCTACCCTTTTATACAAATATGCACGCATACGGGTCGAGCCATTCGCACAACTTAGTGGCCCCTTCTGAAATGTACAGCAAGATGCACTTGGTGTATAAACTACGTCGACAGAAAACACGTTTTTTTTTTTTTCTTCTTTTGAATAATATGAAAACAATTTAATTGCATTGTATTTTTATTATTAATATTTCATTTTATTTTTCTCTTTATAACATTCTCCTCAAAAGGGCTGCAATAAACTGGCAGGGTAATTCATCTAACAAATTAATACACCGCTACATCTGTGTTTTCTAAATATATACAAACACACTTGCGAATTTATGCGTACCTCATCTGTACCTCTCGAAATTGTGTTAATAAAAAAAGGACTTGCCTTTTTTTTTTTTTTTTTTTTTTTTTTTTTTTTTTTTTATTTTTTTTTCCTTTTTTTTTTTTTTTTTTTTTTTTTTTTTTTTTTTTTTTTTTTTTTTTTTTGTACAGAAGTGACGCAGTATATAAATATTGTAGTTTATTGCATTCTGTGCACAAGCAGAATGTACGGTGCTACACAAATTAATCGTCAAAAGTTGAAAGATAAAAATAAAGCGCAAAAGGGAAAAATTATCCCCAAACTCACCAGCAGAGTAATGCTATATCTCTAGCAACTAGTTGTCGCTCAATAGGAGAAAGCCCTTCAGGGTTATTACTGCTATTAATTGTTCGAACTACACTGATGCATTATTTGGATTTTTTGTTTTTTAAAAAAATGCTTTTTCTAAAGGAGCCGTTTTGGTACTGTTGCTCATTTAGGCATATGTATACATATACCTTAAAAGTATTTAAAAAATTGCAAAAAAAATGGAGTGATTGCTTAAGAGTGCCGATTCTTATAAAAAAATATTTTTTGCCTCTAAACGATTTAAATTACGTATTATTTGTATTTAACCTTTGCTCAACACCATTTGGCTCACCAACAACAGGAATCAGAAAAGGTGCATGCAAGCGGATGTACCCCCTATGCAACAGATTACATTTATTTTGTTTTATTCTTTTTTTATTTGTTCTTTTACCTTAATTAATACTATAAAATGAAAATACATAATGTAAGGCCTTATCAAAATTGATAAAAAAAATGAAGTATATTATTTAAACAATTAACTTTTTTATTGTCACGAGTATATCTCGTTTTTATTCTTACAATTGTTTTGTTCTAGAACTAAAATGTAAAGCTGGCACCCGTGGTCGTTCTATAAATGCAACTGGTTCGTGTAAGTAAAAATTAAATGAACACAATAATACAAATTTTTAAGCTGTATTTATAAAAAGCGAAAAAAAAAAAAAAAAAAAAAAAAAAAAAAAAAAAAAAAAAAAAAAAAAAAAAAAAAAAAAAAAAAAAAAAAAATAGCCGTATAGTAATGTATAAAAGTTCAATTATAAGATTAATCGTGAGCCCCGGTTTACGCGAAATATATTAATGTTATACAATTGGGTTCATCCGTCAACATGAAAAAGTACTACCATTTTGAAAAAAAAAACAAAGTAATAATAATTAGCATGGTAAAATGCAGCAACCATTATCAAAATCCACAAACCCAGTTAAAATAATAATGCAATAAAATACCCGAACATCTAACTCTCATCCGTGTTGCGCACGTGCCCCATATTAAAAACTTAGTATCGAAAATCAAAATTAAAAACAGTTCAAGCGCTAAAAAAAAAGCATTTTCGCAATTTACAAGTATACCACTTAACCATGTGTAGCAATGCAAATTTGTACAACACTTTCGCAAGAAAATCGTCTTTAAATGGCAACTTAGCGAAACAGACGTGCGAGCGGTTACCCCGCAATGGAAACAGAACAACTCCATTTTCTAAGGTGTTACTGATATGCGTCTTGGTCCTTTTATGTCTATTGCCGTAAGTGGAAAGAGCAAATGGCCATTCTGTAATCAACCATATTTTTCACATTTGTGCAGCACTGTTTTTTTCTACAAAAATGCGTATGCAAACTGGTTCTATATACACGTTTTTCTACATCTGTCCACATTGCTTTGCATTTGTGTTTACCTTTTCTTACAACTCTCTTACATGTGTATGTATAAATTCCCCTACACAGCACGTTCACCCAACGAGAAGGCGCTATTTCCCCAAAGCAACTGAAGAACAATGCAAGAAGCTTGGCAATGCAGAGAATGGGAAGAGATCCCTGGCGTGGCGGTTCATCAAGCGTCTTAGACGATGCTGAGTTTCAAATGATCATAGAAAAGTGGGCCGATTTTGAGAACAAGATGAAACAGACATGGCAATACATAGAATACTATGAATATGATGCATGGTTTAAACTCTTATTTGGAACCTGGTTAACAGGATTTCTATTGATGAACAATTCATCCAACATGGCAAACATATTTTATACATGGTTAGATATGTCCCAAAAAATGGGAACGAAGCGTATACAAAAAAATATAGAAGATAACGATGTTTTAGATAAGGTCATCAAAAAATTGAAACATAAAGCTTTCAACAAATTAATTAGGAACTGGGATGTCGAAGTAGAAGATTTCTGGAATGATATCGTGAGAATGAAGATGGAAAAAAATATGGAGTGGTGTAATTTTCTAAGAGAAAAATGTAACGCCTGGATAAGCTCCCATTTCATGTGAACGACCCCCAAGGTGGAAGGCGCGTTATATTCCTTTAAATTGTTAATAAGGCAACCATCCTTATGGAAGCGAAGCTGAAAATGTGCAAATGTTTAGACGGACCGTACTCCATATGTACGTATGTACCGATGCAAGCAGTGCCAAAAAAAATTTAGGCTTAATGCAAATATGTGTTAACTCTAACACATATTATGTATAAAAAAAAAAAATAGAAATCATTTCATGCGCAATAAAGCAAGCCTCACTAAGCATCTTCGTAACTAATATAAAAAATTGCCAAAACCTCAATAAGTACCTCTCTTCGTACACTTTAACCACTACTACACAGAGTGGTCATTTGTCTTGGCCATTCACTCTATAAGTAAAATATCTGATGAAACACTCATAAGCACCACGTAATAAGTGCAACAATTATATATGTGCACTGCTCATGTTTAAATGAAGTTTCAACTAATTTTATTTTTTCATTTCTGCGCATGGCATATCGCGAAGTATACATAAAATATACTGAGCACAGTATAAATAAAAAATTAACATGTTGTTGTGTCACGCAAACGTGCAGTTAAACGCCTTTGTTTTTAAAAGATTATTTTTTTTGTTGTTGTTTTATGTATTGTGTGTGCATTATGAATATTATAATTATTTATACACACTAACTTCACTTTAACAGTAATACTCATTTGTCTTTCCACTTTTAAACATACAAAGTGTCTAATAAGGGAAATGATGCGAAAAAAAAATAAGGCAAGAAAGAGGTGTTTTTCTCAAATCTGCGCCTTGCGGGGTTTTTTTTTTTTTATGCTACCCTTATACTTTCCGTTTGAAGGGAGCATATCCTAAACAAAATGATCACATTGGTATACATGAATTCGAAAGAAAAAACTGCGCCTGATCAACTTTAGTAGATTTTTTATTCACGGTTGGCATTAACCTACGCTACGGTAAAAACAGTGCACAGGTAACGCTATATAAGAAAAAACAAAAAAAAAAAAAAAAAAAAAAAAAAAACTGAGAAAATTTTTATTCCCTTCTTCATGCATAAGCAAATTATAAATGCCCCCCGAAGGGTTCTATCATAAGAACCAATTACTTCCAACTGGACTGGCGCACAAAATGGACATTTTGGAAGGGCACTATGGGGGTAAATACAAATGGCACAATTCTTCCTATGGCGAATAATATATGTCTATCGTCTTGCCGCTTTGCATTGAGCGTTCTTATTTTTCTCAGACCCGCTAATCTGAGTCGTTTCCAATACCGATTTTAAGATTTACGTGGGAACATGCCCCTTCCTACAAATTAGTACAACCAACTGTTCGCTAATGCGAGCTAAATGGCTTCCCCCTTTTGGAGTATACAATCATGTGGAGAAACAATAACCACACGTTTCTATCTCACAACATGGCGCATATACGTACACACGTATAAACATTTCGCTGCCTTCTTCTAGGGCTGCTGAACGCAAAGACGCTCAAAACTGTAGGATTTTCCTCGAAGCTAAATCGCTCTCTTTCAATTCTCTAACCAACTTGTCGCTGTATATGTTCCTAATTATATCCGAGTGGCTATAATTCTTGACATGCCCATATACGTACAAATCGTGCAGTATTTTTTGTATGGGGAAATAAAAAGGAAACGCAAAAAAGTTATAATTTGAAAATGGCGGGAATAATATTTGAAGGGAAAAGTGATTTATTGGTGAAGGGTACGAACAACCCACATACAAATATCTTTTCAAACTTTTTATTTTATTTTTAACATTCACATCTTCTAGTTTTTTAAAAAATTTGCACAATGCCGATTTGTCCTTAACATTTTTTAACACATCTTTATATATATTTTCATAATTTTCATTCAGCTTTTCAATAATGTTATTTTCGTTTACATTTTCTAAATGAATATCCTTCTCATTACTCCCATTCTGCAAAACAATGTTTTTTTTTTTCTCCTTAATGATTGTGTTCAGTTCGAACAAAATATCTACAAGTTCGTCATTGTAATCTGCGTCAACTTTGGTAGACACATTATACATGTATCTGTAGTGAACTAATTTCCCTTTGCTAATTAGAAGAAAGTACAAAAATATATCAATGACAAAATACACATAGTTATACAAATGCAACAAGCAGTTTATGTTTTTCCTCTTTAAATTCTTAACATCATACATAATCCCTTTAAATAAAACCATAAGATTAAGACAGGAATTGCTATGAGGATTATTTAGTATGATATAATCATAACAGTTGTAGTAGACGTACAATTTATCACAATTATTTATCAGCCCCTTTTTAAGACGAACATATTTATCGTCAATTTCAACATTATTCAATAACGGTGCGGAAAAGATGTTACTTCTTACAGTTTTTCTGTCAAAAAGTTTCCACTCCTTTCGAACATTTATGATATCTGTAAAAATGGTGTTCTTTATTAATCTGATATCATTGTCGCTTAGTAAGCCATCACAGTACACACACCTGCTTACATTATTTATGTTTAAACTTGTGCAGTTGATGCACACCTTTTTATATAATCTGTTTGTGTAGTATTTTTTTTTTTCACATGAGTAGTATATTTGCCTCTTCGCAATTTTTATCATTTTAATTTAAAGTGGTTTTCTTTCTGAGTGCGGCGCCTGAAGCTGGTCTTTTTTTCTTTTTTTTTTTTTCTCGTTAACAAGAAATGATGCCGTTTTAATTGGTTACGCTGTCATATTTATCAAAAATGTGAAAAACTTAAAAAACGCGTCATGAAAAATTATTTCTTTTTTCAACTTTTTCTTTCAAAATTGGCACTTCAATTAGGCGGCTAATGGTACGCTTCTTCAAAAAATTGTTTTTCGTAAAATGGTATTTCTTTATTTCTGTCCCTCCTGCATTTTATTCTTAAATGGTTTTGTTCGTCCACTCCTACCCCCCATGTTATGTTTCCACGCTTCCTTCTTTTTTATGTTGTTCGTTCCCTTCCTACAATGTGCAAAATTCGTTCTGCACTTAAAGAAGTTGAACGAGCTTAATGTAAAGAGGAACTTAAATATGGGAAAGTAACACCAAAGCAAGGAATATGCTCAAACGCCCGTTGTTGCTTTCCTTATGTGAAGGCATTTCCTCCCAACTTTTGCAGTGATTACAAAAGAACTAAGCGTCATCCTTCGCACAACATTTTTATTTTATAATATGGATGAGAATACTTTATACAAAAAAAAAAAAAAAAAAAAAAATGTTGCTAACGCAATTTCTGCAAAGTTTAAAAAAAATAAATTGTGCACATCAAAGGGAGGAATTCCATGTTACGGTCAGATAAAACACGTTTCATGCCTCAAAAAATGTCATATAAAAATGCAACAAAATACACCTGTTGCCATTCCTGTATGGAAACATTTTTATTTAAAAGTGTATTTTTTTCGCGATACCCAATGAGGAAAATTTAGAGGGAACATTTTAAAAAAAATAGGCGTTGTCGTGTAGCAACGCATTCATGTGACTTGTAAGTACGAATACGTCGAACTACGCGAATTTCTGCAAACCGCACCAACACCACTGTCGTCTTAATTACGTGAGTGAGACCTGCTTTTCTTTTTTCTAATGATGCACATTTGCTTGACATAACCAAAAAAAAAAACATTCGTGTTAGCAGTCGCATATGTGTATATGCCTACATGCACAAAACAACGCGCCGAACTTATTCACGGTGAAATGGCGCAGTGGGGCCCCGTCAAAATTTGAAGCTCTCGTAGGGGTTCCACTTGATGGGGAAATTTTCGGGCGTCGCGTCTTCATTTTCTCTCCATATCTGCGAGGGCACAAAGAAAAAAGGAAAAAAAAAGAAAAGTTAAACAGGCACGTGTTGTAAACGTAAAAATGCCTTTTCTTTTTTTTAAAATCAAATTGACACACGATACGTAGAAATAATGCAAACAAACCATGTACCGCACATAAATACATGCACACACACACAATCCTTTCGCGTATGTGTTAGGGATACTCCCCCCTTTTTTTGCGCTACCTTAATGGACTTGTCCCCGTGGGTTGTTATCAGCCGACTTTCACTTTTGTCGAAGGCCATGGCTAGCGTGGAATTTTCACACTCGACCGTGCCAGGGACGACTTTGTTTGATAACGTGTCATATTTATAACCGCTGGACCAATCGTAAAAGTGCAGCTGGCCATTGTTACTACCCAGTATTAAAATAGACGAGTCACTAAAATAAGAGTCCTGCTTAATTAAACTGCAATTAATTATCGAATTAAAGCCTGTAATGTTCCTATCAAATTCAGCGTCCGCTCCACACCACACTTTAACATTATCCGTGCCACAACTACAAAAACTATATTCAAAAGGATGAATAGATAGTGACCGAATACTTTTTTTATGATGTGTTAATGCTATTCTGCACTTGCCATTATTTAAATCCCACAACCTTATCATTTTATCTTGAGACCCTGACACAACCTGTGGCTCAACAGATTGAGAACACAAAGACATAATAGTCCCTGTGTGACCTGATAACACAAAAATGGAACTCTTCGTTCTAATGTCCCAAACCCTCACTACGGCATCACGCCCCCCACTCATAAGTATATCTAGCGATGGATGTAACGATAAGCAGTACACACCTGACAGGTGCCCATGATAATCTCTTATCACTTTATTGTATTCTAAATCCCAACATTTTACTCTGTTATCTTCACCACAACTGAATAGGTAAGGATTTTTCTTCGAAATTTTTATATCACGTATACTATTTATATGACCAGTTAAGGTTAATTTTAATTTACATGTCGCTAAATCCCATATTTTAATTAATCTGTCATTTGCACCAGTAGCAAACCATTCGTTGCTTATGTCCACATCGACACAGTTTACCCACCCTGAATGACCTAGGATTACTCTGTATAATTTGTATGGAAAGTGCCACTTTGGTTTTTTAATTTTTTTATAAATATCCAACGTTTTTATATTTTTTAGAGCATCGCTACTTAATACACTGTCGTCCGATTTTT